GGGCAGTATTTATTCTCATATATTCTAAGCTAATTTTGATAAATGTATTGCTATGTTGCGGGGTATTGTCTAGTTTCTTTCGAGAAAAGACCTTCCGCACCGTAAGAAGGCACGATAATTAGTTGATAATCTCAACTGAACCATACGTCCACAATACATCCACTTGACAGTTTCAATTTTGTTTGTTAATAGTACTAGAATATACTCCACTAGGCAACTAGATCACCCATCCAGTATTAATATGCCAATTTCTATTTTGGAAAGTACTATATGTCTATTGACCAGCAAAGTCGTGATGGCATCCATGTGGAAACAAAGACAGATACGAAAGTCCGAAGCAAGAATATTCACCAAGGTGAGGTACAACTACTCACTATATAGTATGATGACGACTTAGCCAATCAGTCACATATGACGACCGTGTTATTATTCAGTTTATTCACACTCATATTGGAAGTACAACACCACAATTCTAACCTTTGGGAATTATTATTCATTGATAGAGAGTCAAGGGTTATCCGTGTAGAGGCAAAAACATATATGCAAGTCTGGAGAAGGAATCAAAGATGAGGTACAACTTCCATTAATTTTATTTTAACAACAACATGCATAGTCAGTCAGTCAATCCAATAACTGTGTATTGTATTTCACACTGGTACAACACGACGAAAAGTCTTCGGAAAGTACTATCCCTTGACTGAGAGACTGCGGATATATATTCACTAGAATCTTCTCACATAAAATATAGAAGTGCTTTTTCATTTACCACTCGACATGAGAGGTTAGCTAAGTCAAAACCAACAAGAACCATCTGCTTATTTTGTATTGAAAACAACTTAGCCGGTCAGCCACATATGATTACTGTGCTGTGTTGTTCACACTAGTACGTCACTATAGCTAGTCTTTGGGACACTATATATATATGCAGTCCACAAACAACTCGTCACTGTACCTTACGACATTTTGGCAAGCTATTATTTTTTACTATGATTGGATAATATGCAATGACTTTATTCACACAAGCCTTTGTCGTTCTCAACCCATTTCCTAAAAAAATATGTGCGTGACGTCGACTACTCAAGTTTACAATAAACATTTATTTTGGTTAATATATAGCTCTCCACACACGTACATGCAATTGCATATTTTTGTTTGACATTAACTTTACCATAGACATCACCTTTAGTACTTGACAATATTATTTTGTTTGTCAATAAACGCCCTTCACTTTTAAAGAAGAAACCATACCATTTTTTAATTATTCTTGACTAAGTAAATCTAGTTTGTCACCGATATGGAACTCTGCACCAAGGATATTCTTCAGCACACACGCTGCACACAAGATAGGGAGCGCAAATGTTCACTTTTATTTATAATTTTATTTGTGTAAACGCTGACAAGGGACATGGTACGTCGAAGCGATCTTTTGGTGGACGGGGGCTAGGACATACATGCATATATCTGCTAGGTGATAATGAAAGATGGGCTAGACAAGCTTATTAAATCACCGACAAATGACATAGAAGGGAGGGCCAAGAATATACGCACGCGCGCGAGAGATAATATCTTAGATAATCCTTGTATGGGGCACCAGAAATATAATTTCATACCTCAAATAGTTTTCATGTTGGGCAACTAGTTTTATTGGGTTCACAAGTGGCGGTCTAATGGCA